GGGGGGGGGGGGTTGTGGCACATGGGCTCGTGTGGTGGAGATATTCTCAATCCTGCCCCAAACACCTTGATAGTTGTAAACAAAGAAGTAGAAAAAGTAAAATTATTTTTTTGAAAGAACAATATTTTGCAAGCAAGAGAGGCTTGTGGTAAATGTCCATATTCCCTTTCCAGTCAAGAGGTAGTGATTTTGCTAAGGTGTCTCTCAAGTATTTATAGATGGTGATGATTGCTGCTGTATGTCACTGAAAGGCATGTGGCTGTATGCACACTTTCTATAATTAACAATGTAGGCTTTGCTGTTGTTGCTAAACTATTTGGTACATATTTTATAGAAAACAAAATCATATTAATAGGATGATAATTGTTATGCTGTATGACACAAGTGTAAAGTATGTTCACGTTTTGTTTTGTTTTGTCTGTTCTCTAACATTACAATGAAAAATTGTTTTTTCAGTGTCATTTCTAGAAAACCAGTGTTAAAATGTTCATGTCAGATTTTGGAATTTAGCATACTATGTAACCTGACTTTTAAATTAAACTATAGTTATCATTCATGTCCCTTGGTAATCTATAAATGTATTGTTAGAGAAAATACTTGAGAAAATGATGCACAGAATTCATGATCAAAGTTAATTCCAGATCATAATAAGCAACTTGTCATTCCTTTTATACATTTTCCCATGATATTCTCAATTCTTTGCCTGTAAATGGAATCATTTTAATATTTCCTTTAGGAATGGAGCCTTCAGTTGGGGGAATAAGGTCCAAATATCCGCAGTGCAGAATAGAGTAATTACAAGAACAAAATAGCATTATGCACCACAATAATTTGCTTTCCTAGTTACATGTATGTGCCTGGCACTACTTTTGTGCTTAATCAGATTGTATCAGAAAAAATAATTAAACCCCCCCAGCACACTGTTCTGAGTATCTCCTTTACCTCACCCGCAGCAGTCCATCCATAGTCAGAGGAGTCTCCAGTGAGATGAGTTAGAAGTTCTGCCTGACAGTAGGAGCTCTAACGTGGTTCAGTATTATTTTCAGAACTTCTATCAACTGATTTACTTTATATCAGCATTCCCTGAAACAGTCCAGTGCCAGGGATCAAACTGTAGATGCACCCCTGATGATTGCTGTATTTCCTCAGCTCATACTACCCTACTGACTGCTAATCCTAATGCCCTTCCAGACATTACTCAGGCAAAAACTAGTCTTGTAACCAGACTGTTATCCAGGCTAATCAAAATGGCTTGACACTTTTTTTTTAAATAATTGGGTGCTCTGTGACCAGTGCTGTAATACTGACTCTCAGTTGTTGAAGATAGTATCATAGTTTCTCTTGTCCTGTATGTGGCAGTATTTCATAGCCTATTTTGACTGGCCTTTCTGTTTTAATTGTAGCATATGGTGCTTTGTCTATTGGATATCTTAGCTGAAAGTGCTTTGGTGGCAGAGCTTCCTGCGTGTGTTGTGTTGGGTGTTGTCATACTCTTTTGTACTCGTGGTCAAGATTTCAAAATCCTTCCAGCCCTCTGACAGTTTGGATTATAGCAAATGCAAGGGTGGCTTAGCAGGCCACACATTTGTGTTCTCTGAATTATATTTATGATGTTTATTTTGGAGGTACTAGAGTTTATAGAATTCTTATATACTATGATGTATTTTAAGACCAAGACTTTATATGCAGTCAATAACACAGGAAAGTAAAATATATTTAAAAAGTTACTGTTAATAAATTATCTACCTGAACTTTTTGTTTATTTTGTAGTATGGTTTCAATAATTATCTGCACTCTGTGTGTGTGTGTGTGTGTGTGTGTGTGTGTGTGTGTGTGTGTGTGTGTGTGTGTGTACACCTATAAATAACTGACACAATATTCATAAACCGACTTTCAAAAGTACCTGTGCTGTATTTTACACTGTATTTAATGAATTTAAGAAATATTTTTTAAAATAAAAAGCCTGTCCACACATGGTTTCTTTTCATTCTGTTTCTT